CAGTGGTCGCTCGCAGTGTACTGTACCATTCTGGGCCGTTTGCTCACCCAGAGATTCCTTCTCCAGCTCCGCGCTCAACCTCAGTAGCGTCCTTGCTCAACGCGGAGCCTACAAGATCTCCTGTTGTTGGAATGGGTAGTCGAGGAAGCCCAGGAGATTTGGGAGCCTTGGAGGCCTTGGTGGAGGCAGCTACCAGCGAAAGACGCAGGTTGAGCGGTGAGCTTCCTACTCCTTTAGAGATCAGAGAGTTTGCTCGCAGAACCTCTCTGAGCCCTGTGCTCAATCGTGTCCCACCCCTGCTGCCGCAATCATCGCTTTCCCCCGTCATGCAGAGGAGTCCAATGCTTCCCTCTCCCCGTGTAGACGCCCGTGTCAACTCCCTTGCTGTGATCCCTCTCGGTGCAGTAACAGGCCATGACGGCGAACCACCCACAAAGAGGCGCAGACGCACAGGGAGCTCTGGGGCCAATGCTCCTATCATTCAGCCATCACCCACTACGACACCTTCTGGCGCACCGAAGACCCTGCCCATACCTCAGACTCCGACTCTTCCACCACCCACATCACTCTCGCCTCTTGCAGTTGCTCCTATACATCTTGCATCCATCGTGCCATCTCAAGCTTCCCATGACCTTGTTCTCCCTGCCAATGTCACTGCATCCCCACCCCCCCAACTATCAGTCTGTCCGACGACTCCGGTTATTCAGGCACCCGCTACCGCTCAACGACCCACGAGTATATCCCAGCTATTATCTCTTCCCGAGCCGCCAAGAAGCGATGATTCTGTATTAAGCTTGACCGAAGCTGAGAACGCCGAACAGCCGTCTCTTGAGCCTTCCTCGTCTGCAATACTACCGTCTGTCTCTGCCGATGGATCCCGCTCTATGTACGCAAATCCTGAAATGGGGAAAGGGAATACAGAAGAGCCAGTCGCGAAACGGAGTAGCAGTGTCGAGGTATTGAAACAGGAGACGGAGATTCCTGTTGAGGGTGACCTAGTTGATCCGTCTCCGACGGACTGGCGTCGCACATCTCCTCTGCCACCCGCACTCGCATTGAAGGGACCTTCTGCCCCCATCCTCTCCATTGCCATGGAAGAGGAGGAGGATGTCTCAATACCAGCGGTCGCTGCCGAGGAGGAGGAGGAGGAGCTATTGCCGGTTCTCAGTGACCCATTGCCTTCATCGATGCTACCGGAGGAAGAGGTCAAAGAAGCCGCGTCTACAAGTCCGATGGTACAAAACACCGTGATCGCATCTGCTGTAGCCAAGTGCGAAGAAGAGCCTACAGCGCTTCCAGCACTCGCAGGACCAGGTATACCCGGCGAACCACCTGTCTTAGCACCTCCAGTATCTGTCCTCATAACATCAGAATCTCGCAAGACCAGTCCAATAGCACATGGACGACAATGCGCGCATGAACAAGACCCACACGAGTGGTTCCTGGAACATTATGCGGGTAGCAGCTCACGTCGTTCGTCCCCTCCTCCCGAAGATCCCCCTCAGTCACCTTACCTATCAGAAGCTTCCCCAGATCCTGTTCCGTCGACTCTACCTCCTGAAGATGTAATTTCCAAACGTCCGAGCTTGTCACCGCCACGTGCAGCTATAACTGAATCAGCGTCAAGGCAAGAAACATCTCCTTCCCGTTCCCCGGATCCAACCGCTCTATTAGAACAAGAACTCGATGACTTGTCCATGAACGACGGTACCACAAACTTTACGGCAGCTTCTCCTAGTTCGGACGCGGATACGGACTTTGGACTGGAGCTCGATCTGGCGGTCGGTGCGACACCTGATAGGAGCGCAGGCCTTGATATCTCCACGAGCAACGACTTGGACGATGAACTGCTTAGCCTGGTCGATGACAAACCTCGTCATCCACATTCTCATCATGCTCCCACTCAGAAGGTTTTTCTCAAGCCCTCTAACGCGATCCGACAAGAGAAACCGGTTCAGGTTAAAGAGTCTTCGGCGAAGAAGAGAGTGGCCGAGTCCGCCTCTCCAGCATGGGCCCCTCTTCCCACTGGCGCTCCTTCCGGTCGTGTAGTTCTACCACCACCAACAATTCCACCTCCTTCGTCCGCTACGAAGAGCTCTAGTCATCTGCCCACCATCCTCGCAAAAGACAAGTCGGACGGCAAGGCGGACAGGTCAGAAGGTTCAAGTGCGTCAGCTAGCATGAAGAAGAAGGAATCTGCTACAAAGGTATTGACTGTGTTGTCTCTCACATTCACATAATCTTGACCGCACACCGTAGCTCGTTGCGAAGGAGAAGGAGAAGGTAAAGGAGGAGGGTAAGGACAAGGAGGGCAACATGGACATGGACAAGGACAAGGACAAGGAGAAAGAGAAGGAGAAGGAGAAGGAGCAGGAGAAACCGAAGCAAGTCTCGAAACCCAAGCCGCGGCCTGTGGTCAAGTCGAAGGTGAAGACTGCAGCCAAGGAGAAAGACAGTGCCGCGGACTCTACCGGTCGTCTTACTCCTGTGAGCAATGCTCCTGTCACGAAAGCGAAGAAGACGACTGCAGTGAACGCTGCCGTGGCCTCAGCCGCGAAGCGTGGTGTATCTGCGGTGGCTGGTCCTTCGCGTTCTCGGTCGACTTCCGAAATGCCCGCACCCCTGGAGCCTATATCCAGACCCAAAGTTCAGGTTGAGGAACCTGAGCCATCTGACGAGGAGGCCGCCGAAGACGACAAGCTGTACTGCATCTGCAAGACTAGCTATGATGAAGATAAAGTCATGATTGCTTGTGATCGGTAAGTGGTCGCTCGGCGTTCTTTCCGCCTGGAATGATGCTTGATACTCATTAAACGTTGTAGTTGCGACGAATGGTATCACACTCAATGCTTGAACATGAACGACCTGGAAGTCGACCTCATAGACCAATTCGTATGCCCTCCATGTGTCAAGGGTAGGTTGAGCCATACTTATCAACCGCGTAAGCTCACGCCACTTCTCCAGCAAATCCGAATCTGCCCCTGAAGACGACATACAAGCAACGTTGTATGGCCGGCCTCAAACACCCAAATCCTTCATCCCCGAATGCTTGCCACAAGCCGTCCCGTGGCGCGTTCTCGAAGTTCTGCTCAGAGGAATGCGGCATCACTTACATGCAACGTCGCATCGATAGCTGGGGTGGCGATCAGACTGTGTTGTGGGCGAGTGTTCGCGACGCAAAACCAAGAGAGGGCGTGGTCGTGAAGGTGCAAGTGATTGGGAGCCAGAATGGCGTAGCCATGGAGGAGAAGCGACCTGGAGTTGCGTTCGGCAACCTCATTCAAGAAGATCATGAAATCCAGAGGCCGTCGAAGACCCAACGCGAGCGAACGATCACCCGACTGCAGACACAACTGGAGAAAATTGCCCCGAAACGGGAGGCTCTCAAGAGAGAACTCGATATCATTCTCTGGCGACAGAAGTTGCTCCGACTGGCCGCCGCGCGCGCGGAGCGGGTGGAAGAATGTGGTTGGGATCATCGCCTGTGTTTTGATGACGAGGAATGCATCGATTTCGGCGACGGCGTCCTCGAGAGTTATGCCGCGACGCTCGGTCAACCAAACGGCAACAGCGAAGACGTCATGCATGTCGACGGCACTCCTGAGGACAGCGACTGGTGGTGTAGGGGCAAGAAGAAATGTCACCGTCATGCCGGGTGCGTGCATCATATCCACCGTTCCCCATTCCGCCCTCTGACAGTTTGCTCAGATGGCAGAAACTCCGTGGTAGTGAATTTGAATTCGATCAGGAGCTCAAGGAGAAGGCCATCGAACAGCTTACTACGAGAGAGCGCGAGATCCGGAAGCAACTCGAGGACGCGATAAGCCTTCCTACGCCCAAGCCTACTATGCCTGGACCGCTGCTGCCGCCGAAGAACGGGCATGCTCCGTCCAACGGCGTAAAGGCTAAGCCGAATGGGACGTCTGGCAAGAAGGGGAAGCAGAAGCATTGATATCTAAGTACATCTTAGACATTCGTGTCGACATGCGGTTGGACCTGCTGTTGGACCTTCTGTCACCGTGCACTGCTTGTAGTCTCGTCTAACATACGCAGTATATTGTATATGCATTATATTCTGGATTATGCAACAGCTTGAGCAGTGGATGCCAGCAACGGGCGACAACAAGGACACAAATACAATAGGCTGAATGCCTCCTTGGCGTAATGAATCTGCCTGTGGTGGAGTGCATTGACATGACGATTGACGAAAATTGAGACCCAGATGTTGAGTTCGCGTGTGGTCAGTATCCGTCCCCTTCCCCACCCTCTTTGCAGAATCCCTTCTCCTCGTATAGTATTTGGGACTTGACGTCTTCGCGCTTCTTCTTAGTGGCAACATCCTGCTTGTGATACGGCTCTAGGACTGTCCATTCTACTTGTCGTAGTGGCACCTCGTCTTCCTGGTCAAGATCCTAGAAACATTCCGACCGTCAATGTGAACAAACCGCACAAGTGGCACAAAAACTCACGATCTCCCCGAGCAGCACTACGTTCTCTCCACGGATGAGGAAGAGGCCTCTCCACACCTCAGCAAATACGTCCTGGTGATATATTCGTTCCACCGTATCTTCCAAGACAAGATTGGCTAGGGTAGACGACGTCAGATCCCTGCGACCTTCAAACTGACGACAAGCTCACGCACCAAACTGGTCATAGGACCTGAGAACTCCTTGAAGTTTTCGACCATCTCGTAAGACCACGAGCATCTTCCCTAACCGGATGCGAGGGACGCGAACCGAAACAGGATGGAGGGTTGGCAAGCAATGGGCTTAGGGTGCACCTCAAGTACGTGGACTTGGTATAGACGTACTATCGACGCAATCCACTAGAGATCCTGAGGTTGTGAATGGGATCAAGGAGTCCATTGCGCTGGCTGGCAACCCTGGCGGGTCGGAGAGGTGTGCGTTACGGTGATCGCAGAGGTTGGACGCGTTCAGTAACTCAGCCTGAGGCCAGCTACGCCGCGAGTATATAGATACCTCCTGTGAAACGACTCGTAAGCTGATATGGCCGAGTCGTTAAGGCGAGTGATTTGAATTAGTCTCAACATCACTTGGGCATTGCCCGCGTAGGTTCAAATCCTGCTGTCAGCGTTTGTTTTTACATTGTAACGCATATGTAGAACTGGTGTGGGATGTGCAGAATGTACATCCAACGCGACGGCTTCGTGTCTTTCTGAGCTACTTCATCGCAGGGTAAGCACACTCGTCGGGAATTTCATCAGGGACCAGTTGTGAAGCCTCGCGAGCTCTGCCCACATTCATGCCAATACTAGATATGTCACGTTTTCCCCCATAATATCTGCGCTGGTTCTGCGAGAACGGGATGCTCGCCAGGGAATCGCCAGGGAAAGGCCCACATGGTGCAGCTGCGAGGATTCATAGGAAATGTCATACATTGCAACAGGTGCGCCGTCTAAGAGGATGTCGACGCAGTAGCCTCCTTCCCAAAGTACTGCCACTGTCCTGGCTCCGGCTTCTCTTCTAGAGGCTCCCAACTGCAAAGGATTGAGGGACAAACTGTCAGGGATGGGCAGGCAACTCACGCTTTCCATTCTAGCATCTGGTTCGCGAGCTTGAGCTCGTCCTGGGCGATGTCCAAGGACTCCTCGATCTGCCCCTCGTCCAACTCCTTCTCCGCCGCAGCTACGTCACCGCTCGTGCGCTCCAAGACCTTCAGCTTGTGCAGCGTGAGGGCTTCCGTTCCTTGCCGGTAGACGGATGATTGGGGGATGCTGGAGAGCGTTTGGAGGGTGGCTTCATAGGTTTTCTTCAACTCGGGCAGTGGGTCGTGGTGCACTTTCAGACCGGTTAGGCCTGTTGACCTCTTGGTGACGGCGGTGAGTAGAGGTCGAGTGAAGCGGAACATCGTGGAAGACGGTAGGGAGTGAATCTCTCTAGGGCGCTTCGAGAGAGCGACCTCTCGACTAGACGCCAGTTATAGTCAGTTGGTCCACATCTCCAACCTTCTCCTCCTCCTCCTCAGTGTCCTCCATTGTCGTGTTAGTTCATCATGGCAGCGACAATGGCCGTTCATCAGTCTCGAACATGGCTCACTATTGCACGATCTCCAATGACCCGAATTGCTCTTGCTGCCGCATCCATACCTGCTCTCCTCGCCACGCCGAAACCCTTCACTTGGGCGTTTCCTTCCCTACCATCCCTCCTTGAGCTCTTCCCCCCTTGGCTGCTCGCAGTTCCCAAAAAGAAGACTTCGCATTCACGGAAGGCTATGAGGAGCGCGAACAAGGGGCTAAAAGACAAGCAAAGTACGTCAGCCTTATCGCCCTTGATGAACGTAGCTCACGCGAAATTTCTCAGATTTGGTGCATTGCGAGGCGTGTGGATCACCGAAACTGGCTCACAACTTATGTCCGAAATGCTATCGCGAGCTTAACGTGGAATGGAAAACGAGAAATCGATCCGTAGAGGTTTGAGCGTCGATTAGATGGTTACTGGTGAGTACGTGCCTGGATTCCTGCAGGCTAGCACTCATCCCACGTACTAGCTGTAGTACTATAGATCCTCTAATACTCTCCATTCGAAATCCATTGCGCTCCCGCGCGGCGGTATCTCTCATATAGTGCCGCATAGTATAGGATGGATATCGTATCGTTGACGGCTCCTCAGTGTCAGAGGATGCTACTGTGTTTCGTGAAGAACAACGTGCGTGACACCATGCATATTATAAGGTCATCTATCTCTGCTTCGAGCTGCCAGTGGAAGCGCGACTGCGGAGTTTGGCGCATGGGAAAGGAGGCAACCTCAACAGCCCTGCTCTATCTTCCACTACGGAGTCGCCTTGAGAACAGAGTTGAGCATAGCAAGACAAACTCAAACTCATTGGACGACAACATACGTAGGTTCAGACTACTAGTAAGTCCTTTGAACGACGAACGACTATCTCCCGGGAACTAGAGGCTGTTTTACCAGCCTCGTAGTAGAAACTACTACTATGTACTAGTACTTAAGTAGCTGTCGGGTCAGCTGAAGCTGTGACGTGTGACGTAACACGTTGTGACAATATGTAGTCGCTATCACCTGACCGACGCGTGCTTCCAACCACCACGGCCAGACGCGCGCATCCGTCCTTCGACACCACCCTCAAGACTCTCAGACGCGTTTCCCCTCTCTAACTTCACTAGTAGTTATGGACGGCTCCAAACCTGGGGAGGTCGGCGTTATCACCTGGTGCAACTCCATGCGCTTCGCCATGGCCAGGGACGCAGGACGCCAATTTCTGCACGAGCAGATTCAGAGAGAGGGGTTTGACTTCCTAGACATGTACCTGGAGAACTTCTTGGAGGGTCCGAAGAAAGAGTACGTCAATGCATCTCCTCGCATCCCATTAGTATAACCGTGGTGTGACTAGACCTGTCATCGAACTCCTGAAGACACCTGGTCGCAAGAAGAACGCGCCCACCCGTACTCGTGCTGCTGTGACTGCTGCTGTGAAGACACAATCTGTCATATCTCTCTCATTTGAGGTGAGTGTCCGCTGCGTCGTTAGCGATAGGACGCACCTGAAGCTTCCACAGGATGGCGCCACAAAAGAGAACCTGGAACCCTTGAATGACTTCCATAAGACCCTGCTTCAAGTCAAGGAGGGAACGATAGATACACAAGACACGCGGAAACCCGCTCTCTCCCGACATATCTCAGACGAGCGTCCTCGTCCTCAAGTATCTGAGCCTTTCGTCAAACTGAAGAACCAGCGTATAGTGACAATCGCAGACAGCCCTGCCGTCAACCTTCCTGAAGATAGCACGTCTGAGCTACGACGAGATCCCCTACCTGCTCCTGTATTCGATGTCGTGTCGGATGTCAAATTCCCTATTGCGGCTGCCAACAGTAGTCAAGGATCATCGCTCGAGGTCAAGACCTCCCTCAAGGAGCTCTCTATCATCGCAGAAGACGATGAGCTAGCAGAGAAGAGTAGAGCTTCCTTCGGCGGTGTCGCGTCAAATCCCCATCACACACCCATCGAACCTGCCAAGTCGAACGATACCGTCTTCCATGATGTAGAAACCCAATCGTCTCAGGATGTGGACATGGACTTGGAGGACGCCAACCGGGATGTCGACATACTAACACACGACCTCGAAGAACCCACCCACGAGGACTTGACATCGATATCCACAACCACCTTCCACACAATCTCACTCGGTCCGCGTGACCAGGATTCGGAACCGACTTCTCCTCGAACCGCTGAGTTCCATACAGCTCCGCTTCCGAAGATCTCACTACCTCCGGTGCCTGTAGAACAAGAATCGCACTCGCACATTGCTCCACTCCCTACCAATCCGGGCCAACATGAGGAGTACACTATGCCTCTACGCGATGAGCCATCTGCCCCGGTCGCCGTTCCTGGCTTATCCCGCAAACCTAGTGTATCGCAGTTCACTGGTCTTCCTGCACCCTCTCCGCTTCGCAAGTCGCTTCGGGCACCTGGCGAAGCTACTGCGGGTGTCAGTATCGGCACAACGGCACCTCCTCTTCATGCAGTGAAGCGAAGCTCGACATCCTGGCTCTCGAAGGCGCGGGAAACGAAGGCATTAGAAAACACTACCAAGCGGACAAGCACGCTTGGTGTGGGATCGTCTACTCTCAGTGCCAACAAGAGGAAGAGCGGTGAAATGCTCGATACCATGAAGGATGGTCCCAATCTACCGGCAGCGGTGAAAGTCCAGGAAGAGGAAGAGCGACTTGTCAAGTTGCAGAAGCTCTCTGACTTACAGACGGTCTTCTCAAGCGATCTCAAGGGTAAGGGTAAGGCTATCCACCATGTTTTAGTATGTATCCGTTCCGCAATCAACCTCGTATCAACAAACTAACACGAGATCGTACGCAGCCTCGCGACGCTCCTACGCAACTCTCCCCCACTCCAGAGGTGATAGTTGCAACAAGTGCAACGGAACAGGAGGACGACACCGACATGCTCACCACATTGTTGAAGAAAAACTATGGACCTCGTACAGGGAAGAGCATGGGCAAGTCTCTTGGTGGGAACGCTGCAGCCGCACTAGCAGAAGCGCGAGCACAAGCTGAAGCTCGTATAGCGGAACGGCACAAGATCGAGTTGGGCATCGAGGCAGGGTCTCAGGATGTTGACATGGTCTCAGAAGAGACCCGCAATTCTGTAGAACCATCCGCGCTACCGGCTTCCCCTCAGATGCAAAGCTCGATCGAGATGGAACGTCGACTCAGCGTATCAGACCTTGTTCCAGTCTCACAGACGCAGGAGAAGGAGAAGGAGCAACTGACCGGAAATACAAGTATATCTACTACTCCTCCAAACTCGCCTCCACGTGCACGCACGGTCAGTCTCAACGGTCCCCCCGCCCCCGTTTTCTCCAAACCCGCCCCTGGTACTGGTACTGGTACTGCTGTACCGTCCTCTTTCCGAGATGCAGCAGCGCCCACTACTATTCGTGACTTCAAGCTGCCTACGACTAACCCCTTCTCCATTCCTGCTGCGATGGCGCTCGGGATGGGACCCAAGCTCGCTCCCTTGTCTGCGCAGAGTAGCAAGGCGAGTGTCTTCTCCGACATCATCTTCGACCGTCCAGATGGATCGTCAGCATGGATGCCCTCCACGCAGGATACCTCTTACTCTGCCGCGGAGTCCCAATCGCAGCCTAAAGTCGCCGACGACAATGACGACCTCGACGATGACGACAGCTGGGGTGTGGACGAGAAGTTCGCTGGGCACCAGATGTGGACGCCGTTTGGCTTCACAAGCTCGAATCCGGAACAACTCAAGGACGACACCATGACGTGGAGTACAATACCGAGCAGGAGCACCAGCCAGAAGGGTGGCGATACTGGCGTGCAGACGACCCAAAGTCTCTTCGCCTCCATTCCGGAGACTGAGAAGGTCGTGGAGGAGGAAGAGCCCCATGCTGATCGTGGCTTCGCAGAGCGTTTAGCTGATGCGGAAAACCAGCCCGAGGACGCAGATGAAGGCCACGTCGAGGAGGCGGACATTGCGATGGAAATAGACGAGGATGAGGTTCAGGATGAGGATGACCTTGAGAAGGACGATCTGGAGGATGCCATCCTCGCTGGGAAGCCAACCATCAAGCTTGTGCAAG